ATACTGAACGCTTGCGTCTGCTTGCATTTGTAGAGGGTCATGAAGAGAACTTAGATGCTTCAGATGCCTGCCTTCCCGGCAAAAAGCGGCTGGCGTAGCAGCATTTCCCCAAGCACGCAACCAGCAGCCCACATGTCCACGCTCGAGGTACTGGCAGAATGAGCAGACTCACGACTCGAACACATGTTGCGCCTCACTGGACTTCTCTCCGAGTCCGAGACTGTTCGCGTGCGCTCAGAATGAGCTCTGGGGCACGGTAGAAACCTTGTTGAGCCCGTTCCAAAAACTCTGCTTCCCGGAAAGGCATCGTAAAGGTGATCTCATTGCGAGCCAAGGCACGCGAGCAAACATAGGCTTGTGACACCTCGTGCAAGAAGTGCGAAGTACACAGGCCAGTGAAAGCTTGTCTAGTAAGTCGAATGACCACAAACAGAAGGCTGCTCAAGAGAACACCGAAACCCAACCGCGAACCGGGCGGGGCACTTGCACCACGCCGGCTCTCGTGTCTGAATGCAGTGCTCATGGGTGTCCACTTGCCGCCTAGCTGTGACTTGTTCGTACAGTTTTTATGGTAATCGCCGCATCGATGTAAGCCTTGCCTTACTAAACCACTTTTCTGCCTGACTTGCAGGCACCCAAATGTATGCAAGCCTTCGTGCTCGTCGGCAAGTTTTCGATGAATTTTCGTCGCCCAACAAGGAAAAGACGTCCCCTGTTCTGCACGCAGTACTGCGCCTGTGCAGTTTGTCTGGGAGCTGCGGAAGTTTAGCCAAGGTCATGAGGACGGGTCACGGTGCCCTTTAACCTGATGCTGCTTTGTCCAAACAAGGAAGCTTGAACCCGACAGGCATTGCACGTCCTGTGCTGCCCTTGATCTCACCCCCAATTCAATCACGACTCCACCGAATCATGCCGTTGTGTAGTCCCTCAGCTCTGAGGTCTTCAGCCGGAATCAGGCTGGTGCAGATTGGGGAAAAGTTCCGCGGCGGGTTCCGGGAGTTCGGGGCGGGTTCTGGGGCACGAAAATCGCACCGAAAATGCTTTCAGTTGGTTCCCAGGGCTGCAAAATACTTTTTTAAGAGAAATTTATTTTTCTGCTGGTGCAAAGGCTTTTTCCACGGCTTGCTTTACGCATTTGGCGTTCGTTTCAACAAATCTGGAACTCAATGCCGCCCCTAAACCAGAAAGTCGTACTGAAAATGCTTTAGTTTGTTTTCAGGGCACTAAAAATGCATTTTCAAGGCTTCGAGAACGCAGTACGAGCTGTTTCAGCTTTGCTGGGGTTCCTGGCCCCAGTCTCCGAACAAATCGGGCTCCCGAAGCCTCCGACCAAGCACACATGCATTTTCCCAGGCCTGCACCCCATAATGCAGCCACCCAGCAACTGCTCAAACCAGTTCCCGGACTCACATTGAGTCCGGAGCTCTTTCCGCAGGGATTCACAAGCTTTCGGCATTCTCCAGGTTAAGGGGTCTCAAGGACTGAAGGAGCAAAGCAGCAAAGCCGTTCTCCAGTGCGGCAGATTGGAAGATTTGTCTGGATCCTGACATGTTACCGACATAGACCATAGAGCTTAAGCGGAACTCCTTCCGTCTTCGATTTCAGTACTTCATCCAAAACGCCTACGACTGCTTGTCTGAGGTCTTAGTATGGTCTTAGTCCGAAGTGACAGTCAACGTTTTGATCTGGCATGTGCAGGCAAACATGGCTTGGAACGAGGAACCGACTTGGAACATGCTGGCTCTTGCAGGGCTACTAGTAGAAGGTCACCGCCGCAAAGCAAGGCTCAATTAAGTCGAACTGCGCCTTGGTCGTGCAGTATTCTGCAGTAATGTGCGGAAACATCAATGATATGTTGTTGGAAAGAATCTGTGCAAGCTTTCATGTTGCTCGGGCGTTTCGGTCAAAGTCCGATTTTTATTCATCCCAGAAGACATGAAGCCGTGTGCCGATTCTTTAGACCCAAGCGCGCACGCCTCGGATGTATTGACCCACTTTGCCGTGCCAAAGTCGCAGACCTTTGAGTGGCGTTCGGGGACCGCACGTTGCTGTCACTGGTCACTGGTCCGGGAAACATGGCTGCACTTCGGGTGCACCTTCAAGGTATACATCCGCGGGTCCACAAGCAAGTTTGCAGGCTTGATGTCCCGATGTACCTACTGACACTGTGCTTGCACAAGTCACACAAGTTAGCCGAGCGTAGGCAAGCAATGGCTTCAGAAAATGAAGTTCTCAGCTGGCACACCACCCCGTGTCTGTACAAGCTGTCCAGCCCGCGGAGCAGCTGGTACATGTATACACCTGAGCACTTCATGCAGTCTTATTGACCCGCTTGTCTTGAACGGCAATTTAAGATAATTTAAGTGCCCGGCGAACGCGGTGAAAATCCATCTCCGAACCCTCGGTGAGCAGTCGATGACAGACCTGTGACCGTGACCTTTGGCAAATACAGCTGAGCCCCATGCCTGCTGGCGATGATGCTTGATGATGCGCCCCAAAGTGTCCTCGCCGAGGCAATGGCATGCCTTTTTGTGGTCCTGTATTTCACGGTGCCGCATCTCGTGGATGCATGTCCACCAGTGTCAGGTGAAAATTGACTCCGTTTGTTTATGCTTGCAGTAGCTGCGACGACGCGGCATCAGAAAAAATCATGCTGCAGTCATGTTGTAATACGAGCCCGCAGCGGAGTGAGCTGGACGTGGGAGACTCGCAAGTGAGGATTCGGCGGACTCACCATCTGCACTCAGGCCCTGGCTGACATATACTCCAAGACGAAATTCACGGTCCGCACCTCGCTTGAAGCAGCAATCTGCATAGTCTGACTCTGATGAAACAAAATGCCAAGACTTGCTGTGCTTGGAGTTTGAGGGCAATCGGGGGCTGGCGAATGGACTACCTGTGATGAACTAATCGAAAACTGCGAAGCCGAGAACAATTTCGCAGACAATCCTTTAGATCAGCCGGAAATGACAAGCACACGAAACAGCACACGAAACAGAGTTGCTACCTCCGGAGAAGGCAAAGCCTGCTTCGACATCCGCAAGCAACTGACACAGACTGCAGCGAATCTGGGCAAGACTCGATGGACTTTACAATTCTTCTGGGCATATGATATGTTGTGGAACTGCCGAAACTCCTCATGCAGGATGTACATGCATGCACACGGGCAGATACGCAAGTCTGCTCACCCCACTTTTTTAGTTTCCATGCTAGCTGGCCATCCAGCCATCGCAGTGCCGGTGGATTTTGACAATGCCCCAAACGCATACCATGATATACCGAAGAGTTCCCGCCTCCTCTGCACCCTCGAAGATTCCGAGCAAAAGCACGACCTAAGCACAAAAGCGTGTGTTGCACTTGCCAATCATGCTGCAGGGCATTGCCGCCATAGAAGATCAGCATGAATGCGCCCGATCCACTGGGCTTTTAAGCACCAGCCACATGATCGATATCTTTGGATCCTACGTCTATGACAATTGCCGTGACAGCTTGGCTGCTTGCATTTGGGCTACCATTGAGGCGACGAAGAACTTCCATCTGGCAAGTTTGACTCAAGCAGGCTAACTAGCATCAAACATATCTTCCGATGTGGAGTTGTGCCTCTCTGCCGGCCCCACTCATGGCCACCTCAGCTGCAGATTGCATGTTAACGACCCCAGAACCATCTGCAATGCCGAGCTCAGCTGCCCACCGTCTTTATTGCAACCGTCCGTTGGCTGCGGAGTTCCACTGCCTGCACGCCCCAAACTAGGCACAAATGCGGTTGTCTGCGCTGAGCATGAGAAGCATCGTAGAGCTCCTCCTGCCTTGCAAACCGTGCCAAAGGTTCCCTTGCCCAGCACGCACCTGTAGCTTCGGGGTGGTCTCAGACTCACGAGTGGCCCAGGCTTGGGAAATCTGTGCCCGCAGACTGCACGCGGTAGCGCGGTCCCGGAGGCCATGAGTCTTCAGGCCGATGTCGGATGACCTCGCAGCTGGCGAGAACTTGCTTCCGCGCTTCTCTGAGGGAGACAAGGGCCAGGCCGGTGAAGGCTCGCACCTTTGGAAGGGTCCGGTGCCATCCATCGGATGAAGCCTTCCGCGGGCTCCGAGGGCTCTGACACTCAGGACGGGGCCGCATCGGCGATCTCTGGGGCTGCGGCCGTGGAGCGAGGCTCGTGCCGAGCCTTTCGAAGAACTTTCTCGTGGACACACCGACGTCTCAGCAGTCGAGCTCTGCACGGTGGGGGATGCAGTAGAGGCCGGCGTGGAACATGGAAGTAGTCGTGCAGGGCATCTTCAGGAGGATCCTGGGAAATCTTCCCTTCGGAACTGGCCCATCGCGCGCGTACCTCAGATCCTGGCCAGCCGTCTCCGTTTGGGGTCACCATCCATACCTACGACTTCCAAACCCGTTAGTGCAGATCGTGCGAAACGCGTACTTTACGCGTACTTCTGCGTGCCTCAAGCATGCAGATGGCACGTCATCTGCTGTTGCGACCGGCTGCAGCGTCATTGGCTTGCATTGCTTCTCCAGCTGGGGAGCACAGCATGTATCCAGACCCCCCGAGCCCCGCTTGTGTAATCGTTTGCTCAGAGCTGGAAAAAACACTAGTGTGACCGAGAGCCAAATTCCTTCCTGACCATGTGATGGATGGATCTTTTCAATATCGCTGAACTTGAAATTTTATTAACCAAGTGCCTGCAAGATGAAAGACAAACAAGCTGCCCAGCCATTCTGGATGCACAGGAAACTGCCCCGAGCCCCTACAAAGAAGATGGCATGAACAGGCTGGCCCGGCAATCCTTTACAACTGACACTCTTTTCTTCGCGTTCTGCTTGGCTCAGATTTGGGAGCTGCTGCCACTTGAAAATTCCGGCGATCGCGGGAAGGCTCTCCTGCCTTTAGGCGGAGCTGCTTTCCAGTCGGTTCTCCAGCACTTGGCCTCAACAAACACAGTGGAGGAAGCTGGCACCGACAGTCTTGCGAAAGTCTTGGAAGCTGACTCGGCTGGGAAGGTCATCCACCAGGTCCAGGGAAGGTCCGTGCCAGCGATGCCATGTGCATGGCTGTCTGTGCCCAGGCCTGCGAGGCAGACTTCGAGGTGAGGACTCAGGCAGCAGACCTCAAGCCCAACGTAGCCTCTCCCAACCCCAAGACTGGACGCCGCCCACCCCAAACCCCACCCTCTTCATGGAGTGGCTATCCACACCACCTGGACCTCTTTCCTATGTCATGTATCAGCGGGTCTTCTCATTTGCTACTCGGCCGGGTCGGTCAGCCGGGAAACATGGCACACATGGCTGTTTGTGACAAGGACAAGTCAGTCACAGCGAGTTGTTGCCACTCACATCCGCTTTTGTCTTGCTACTCCTATGAACAAGCAAGAGCGTGCTGAACCCTCATCTTCCGCACAGCAAGAAGCAAGACCTAGCAGGCCAGCCACTACAGATCCGCCTTCGCAGGATTGTTCGGTCCATGCGATCGCTCACTGGCTTGCTCCTGTGCTGACCCCGTCAGGATCCAGAAGTAAGCAGCCGACACACCAGAGAAGCACAACATAGATTTTTTGTGACCGAAGCATCAGTTGTCATTTGTCTCTGGCTCAGGAGACCGAGGCCTTGTCGTCAAGTGACGTGCTTCTCTGCCTGGCTGGACCAGAGAACCTTCTTATTGCACTCCTTCGTGGGGCAACGCGAGAGATCTGCATCAGATCTGCTCTCTGCCCGGGCCCGCCATCACTCCATTGCTTGATCGGCTCTCGCTACTCTGCTACTCTCGGTTTTGGATCAGGACCTCGTACGGCTTCTCGGGAATTTCATGCCAAGAGGCTTCGTGAACATTGGTAGGCCAACCTAGGTACGTTGATTGGTAAGCCCTATTGCAACCCTGCACTTCTGTCCAAAATTGCAAGCAAGCCGCGCCAAAGCAAAGAATGACCAGGGCCCATGGCTGGGGTTGCGCCCACTCAAGAATGCCACGGAGCCGTGGACCAATGAGCGCCCACCACATGCCCATGCAGCAGCCCCAGGCCACACCACCAATGGTTTGCTGAATGGTGTGGTCTTTGTCCCAAATCCGTGCGGCAGCCATGGTTCCTGAAGGTAAGACAGCAACCATGACGGCTTTCTTGAAAGGCAAACCCACGTGTAGCCCGAGGTACAAAGCGAAATATACGGAGATGAAGGTCATGATGGACGTGTGGCTGCTAGGAAAGCCTGGATCTTTGCTGGAATCTCTGCGTGAACCCTCCGGCCGTCTCCAAACAGACGCGGGGAGTGTTCGCATCACGAGCTGCTTCAACCCTTTTGTAACAATATTGGCCACGATTACACCGAGAGTACACAGGGGAGCGACCTCTCGACGAAGCACTTGCAGAAGGCTCATGGTCAAAATCACCGTCACCGTGATCAGGTTGGATACGACGACCGGAGCACGGTCAGGACGATCAGAGCTCCGATTCGCTCTGCTGACTCCACTCAGACGTCGCAAGGTCCAGGCCACTGGCAGGGACAAATAGCAAGCTACGGTAAAGCTGCCGGAATCCAAGTGCAGACTGGAGCTTGATCGGGCTGGGATTGGCACCACCCCGCAAGCACAGCGGGGCCCAAACGAAAGCATCGGGCGACAAGGGCGGCCCTCCATTTGCAAGAATGAAAATGTGTTGGCCTTTCAGGCCAAGCATTGGGCACTGGGCAGTGATTCCGTGCCGTGATTTGCGTCCAAACAGCCTCGATGAGAAAAACATCAACTGCTTCTGGATGGATCTCACAGGCACGCTGAAACTCAAATGCTGCGCACGGCTTGCTTGACATGTCCTCGTTCTGACACATGAGAATGCCCAGCACAATTGGCCTGAGCGATTGGACTGGTGCTGTGATCAAGCTGGTGTAAGACCATTTGCCTGGCAAGCTTGGAGGACTGCGTGTCTTGGATCGCATTTAACTCCGTGAGACCACTCATGACCTGGAAACACCATGCAACATGCAACGACAGGCGGATCGACGTGGATGCCGGTGCACCGCACCGCTCATGTGAGAGCTGAGGGCTGCTCTGCATTGCAGGTGCGATCGTACAAATCACTGGACCCTCGGATAAGAACTCCGACAGCCTGAAGGTGCTTCAGAATTTGATCCGACGGCACAATAATATCCCGTAAGCTCTGAGTGCCCTGACGATCACTGCATCAGGCTTATGGTGCCCTGGCTGTCCCAGCTTTGAATGTGCAAGAAAGCAAAAACTAGGTTGGGGTGAGGCTCCAGCGCAAGGTAATCCTGCAGCCGCTGATGAGCTCGCAAGCTCCAGGCACCGCCATCTTCAATGTTTCGGCACCCGAACCTCACACCAGGCCAGCTGCAAAGCACTTCATGCAAACTTCGTGCGTGTTAAGGGGCTCGTCAACTCTGCCCCCGCGAGAGAAACCAGTTCATCAACCTCGGGTGCTTCGACATGCGCATGGCATCCCGCATGATCGGCATGCTACTTTGCTTGTCCGCTTGGTGTGTGTGTGTGTGTCTGTATGTGCAAACTTGCTTGCCAGGGCCGCTAGTACATGTTTGTCCTAGGGTTTCGCCAAAAACCGACCATGGCATCTTTCACGACAGGAGGCCAGAGGATACCTACAGATGTCTGCCCAACGAAGCTCCTCGTTAAATATCATATGGTATTAGATATCAGGATATGCACTGTGGCCAGCTTTTTGTACCTGCAATTTGTGAATCCATGCCAATGCAAAGTAGCGACAAGAGCCACAGGGAGGTTTCCAGGCATCTAGGAGTTCCAAGTGATAATCGTTGATCGCATCGCGGGAAGACGTACCATGGTTTTTGTCCGTGGTCGGACCTGTCGCTGTCCTTATTCAACCACGGATGCCTGTCATGTTTGGATCTCTGCTGCCAATGCTGGCCAACTTTTTCTAAACAAGTTGTTTTTGCCTTTTCCCTCGTGCTTCTCTGTTGCTATCTGGTGGTCTTGGTTTGATCAAGCCGTATACTTCTGCATACCCGGCTGGAATCTGACCTGAAGCTAGCTTGGAGCTCGGTCATCGGGGTCTTCCGCCCTTGGCGGATTTTTTCAAAACAGTGCAGAGTAGCAGGTACGGTAGTGCATATAAAAATAAAGACACCGGCAGACTTGTGCCAGTTCAAGTTCATTTCAACATGCCACCATGTTATTCATTAAATCCACGTCGGTATCAGTTTTAAAGCCTGAGTCCAGCCGCAAGTCAGCGTCTCCCCGACTGAAAACATTCTGAATCTCAACCATATTGGCTTCAAGACGTCAGCCACGAAATGGCGTATGTGCTGTCACCAAGCCCTGGCAGTTCAGATGAACAGGGCAGGATCATGGCAGGTCTGGAGCCGCTTGTTTCATTTTATGCAGCTACTCTCAGCAGCTGACATATCAAATCCACGATGCCTGTGCATTGCACCGAGAATGTGGATTCCAGGATTGTTCGCTGCACTGAGTGTTGCAAACAAGCCGTATGCTGAAAGGGTGTCTCCAAGTGCGACCACTTGGTGTTCGCTAAAGCGTGAATCCAATCGGTTTGCTCGGACCCCAATCCCAACTGTTTCAACAATATGTTTCCGGTCCACCCACTTGCACTAAGGTAGTTTCTAAAGTTGTTCGTTTTCGATAATATCTTCGATGGCCGGAGATCACTGTCGATCGTTGCGAGAGCCCTGTCAGAAAGACGAGCTTGTCCGACTCCTCCGGGAGTGACGCAAATTCCATCGAGTTTCGCTTCCCGATAGCAATCGCGGTGGGTGCATGTCTGTGCCACGAACACGCCTCTATTTTTGGCTGAGCTATTGCCCCTGCGCTGCTCAACACCATCTAGTGTTGGGCCGCAGCAGGCTACTGTGGAATGCCCGCAGGATCAGGTGCCTGCTCGCCAAATGCCCTGGTATGTAGGGCGTCTCGTTCACGGCTTCCGTGTCCACGGTCGACATGTAGAACGGGGGCCACGAACTTCCATTTCAGACATTGATCGAAGCAGGCGATTGTCCCCCCAAGCGATGTTGATGATCGCAGGTCTGTCGAATGGAAAAGGATTTCGTGTGCAGGCGACTGGTTTCGCAGCGACGGCATATGCCGTCAGCGAGGTTTCGGCCGCATACTGAAAGATGCTGCACTTCCTATGGTCAAGGGACGCTCCGGCTGCGAAGAGACATGTTCATTAATATACATGCGCTTCGGGCAGCTCAGCAAGGGGTCTTCATCTTCTGAGCTATCACGAAGATTGGCCAACGTACCGGCCACACTGAGGCATCGGGAATATCTTCGTTCCCGGGACTTTTGGAGGCGGTGCGCACCGATCGGACGTAAGGCGTGATGTGTAGTGCTTGATGATCGCCACAGGATACGGCTTGAGCTCACATCGAGGGCTAAGCCACAATCCGAGTGGATCTTGACCCTGCAACTCGCGCTCTCTCGAAGTCTTTCTAGATTGCAAGCTTGATCAGCCCAAACCGAAGACGAGACTTTCCTTCTTCCGTCGGGTGTGTAACTCGTGAACAGGCATGTAGAACCCTGACATCGGTGGCATCACGTGTTCCCGCTCGTGCGCACGTTGATGGAGCTCGCCGCATTCGACACGATGTCTTCCACGAATTCAATTTGGAACGGGCTCCCGACATGATCGTCTCCAGTGTCGAGAACTATGACCGAACTCCGCGCTTCAGGTCCGAGTTTACCGTGCAGCACGAAAATCGAAAAAACTCCCGACATGCTGCAAACAGGAGCAAAACAACTGTTGGGAGGATTGCATCTGCATCTAGGGCCCGACTGATATAGTAAGTATTGCGAATGCAACGACATGAAAGGGTGGCGAGACCACCAACTTAAATGAAGTCGTCATGGTGGCGAGGTTTTTTTCCCCTGCTCCACGTGCAGGTGATTTCGTATGTCCCGTCCAGCAGGAGGCATCTCCCGGGCAGAAGGCAGGCAGAGATTGTCACAGTCGATGCGTGCTTTCTTTGGCAGGTGATGATTTTAGCAGGCACAGTTGTCTCTTTCTTACCGTACTCCTCTTTTCTCGCCAGCTACCTCTGTGTGCCCGCACCCTTCCGTCGATGTCAGGTGCACCAGTCCCACGAACTCGTCTGAGCTTCTCCAGTCCAGCTGTCCGCCGCAGTTTGTGTCCAGAGTCCCACTAACTAACTGCTTGAAGTGATATTGAACTAAATAGATTCAACTTGGAACGAGCTAGAAAACCACCGAACCCACAACATCGAGTAGATGCAGCAGCCTTACGCTGCGAGTTGGCATGAAGATTTGAGCCATTGAACTTCCAATTACTTTGCAACTTTGCAGGTTCGATGTTGCCAAGCTTTGCGTTTTTCGGACCAACATCCCATCATTTGAGAGGTACACAGAGACCAAGCTCCTGGCAAAGTATTGATTCCAAGTGGTGAAGACAAGACCTATTCGGAGCTGGGATTTCTCCAGGCCTCTCCAAGCGGGTCATACACGACGAAGCGGTACAAAGCTGTACGAAGGCACAGGCCGAGCTCCGGCAACTTAAAGGTTTCCAGGACCGTCCGGTGATTCAGCCTCAACAGGCTTCTGCAAAGACGCATCCACTCACCGTCTCACCTCGCCTCTCCCTCTTCGTCTTGAGGTAGCCTACACTATGCGCAGATGGCACAGATGCAAGTGCTGCTACCTGCGAGCAGGGGATGACAGCATTCCAGCTGAAGACGACAAACAGGTGTCCAGTGCCTCCTGCGTAATGCTCTTCAGTGCAGTCATCTTGTCTGGATTGTTCGTATAGAGTCGAACAGACTTGAGCCTGCATCGCCACAATTCGGAATTGAACATGGTGCATTCGCCGCACGGCAAACACCGTCGCCGAGTCGCAGGCCCGAGGTCTTGCAAAACCCGCAAGGCATCCTCGTAGCTGCGAATGTCCACCTGACAGCTTCAGGCAGAATTTTGCAAGGTCACCTCACATCTCAAGTCACTGATGTCCCTCTGAGAAGCCAGCCGGAAGTCCGAGCTTCAAGTTCGCATCCACCGTGTCGTGACCTTGGTCCTGAAGATGGTAAGCACCTCGTTGGCAAGTCTGTGATCAGTCTGTGCAGCTGATGCTCCTGCCCGACACAAAATAGGTTGCAAGCGAATCTTCGAAAAAAGTCCGATACCACGCCTGGGCCATGCAAAGGCTAGATTGGATCTGGGGGTGTGAGACGAAAAGTTCTGAGTGGCTTACCCCTCCTGGCCGCGAATGTAAAGAAGAACACCGCAAGCCCTCGGTCTGCCATGAACACTGCTGCGCACTGTCCGCATTCGCAGCTTCATAGCAAACTCTTCAGTTACGTCTCAACCTGGCAAACTTGCACTGGCGGGCTCAGAAAATCTTGGAAGGAACGATGCTTTGTCCGATCACTTGTCATTTCGCATTTCTGCAACATTCAGTGTGCTCATCGTGACCGCTCAGGGTTTTCCAAGAGCAAGAACGACCAAGGATTCTTACGCAAGTATGCATGCATATATGTGATACTAGTATGGATGCAGTCTGCAACAGCATCCTGAATCAGACATAAGTATAGAATATTCAGCAGCTGCCACTCTCCGGACTCGTCTCCTTCCCTCTTCACTCCCCTTCTCTCTTCCTTGCCATCGTTACTTTTCTGCCTGAGTCGCTTTGCTCACCCCTGCGTATGCCTTTTGCTCCCAGTGTCTCATCCACAGATGCCGATTATCTGGATGCTCGGGCACGGATGCGGTCATGCTGAGCAGCTTGCGAATCATTCATTATCCTCATGAACTTGTGAAGCTGCTGTCCGCAGTCACAACCTGTGCAAAATCCCCAGATTCAGAACGTCAGTCTCGTTGCAAAAACAGGAATCTTCTGGCGTGGAAGCTGAGAATCCGACGTTGCGACCCCAGCACGTCTCCGGTGAAGCATTCAGAATGTACGCGGACAGGCACTCCCTGAGTTCGAAAGCGGAGCCGCCGTCGACTGGTTGTGATACCTTCGCTACGTAGGCGCATGTAGGCGCCATGCATCTGCATCTTGCACGGTCCCCTTCACGACCTGCCAGCCGGCACGAAGTGACATTGGAAGCCACATGGGCGACACTCCGAGATCTGCGCAGCAATAATTTCAATCTTCGGATCTGGCGTTGCGAAAGCCTAAAGTCGCGAGGACCGAAGGCGAAGGAACTAGCTGTCGCTTTGCTGGGGCACTGACCATCAGCTGACACTCGGCCTGGATGTCATCCACCCACATCTTGCCTCACAGAGAAAGGAACGGCCCACTACCGAACAGACACATGCACACGCCCTCAGCAGCGGACTTTGCGTTTCCAGGACCGGCTTTCCAAGGGCCACTGCCTTCGCCTCGGAAGTGACCAAACAGCAAAACCCTCCAATGCCCAGGGGCGAGGCTGCCAGAGGCGGCCAGCGTCGAGCTGCAATGGCTTGGGTAATGGCTGGTCCATTGTCGCTGAGGCATTCCGACATGGCTGAAACAACTTGTCGACGACTTGTCAACCCACGTATCAACAGCAGTCTCATGCAAACCTTGTCAATACGATCTTGGTCCCCTGAAATAGTCATCAGATTGTCCCTGCCTGGCCGTGTTAAGAAGATTTGTGTCAAAGTGAAGAGCAGCAGCTGCGGCCAAATAGAGCACAAAGTTCCGTTGCATAGGAGGGCCCTTTGCCATGAAAGCAGCTACGAACTCTTTTGTGTAGCATTAAAGCTACTTCATGTCTTCCGTCGCCGGCGGCTCCTTGCAATGCAAGACAACATCTGCCAGGTGCAATCAAACGACTCAGTTGAGTTGACTTTGCTACTAAATTGGAGCAGGTGTTGAGGTACTTGTCCTGCTTCGGGATCTGTGGCGTCCACGGCTGCGGTGTCGAATCTTCTCTTTTTGGGCACCTGCACGGCGATACATGTTGTGTCTCGGACAAAGGTGTCAAGCGGCAGTCAGCCACGGAGCGCCCATCGGTTCTGCACGAGCACGAGGACCTCCCAAGCTCCAAGTGTCGTCAAGTTGCTCCTGAACCTCCGGCCTGGCGATCGCGATCTTCTTCGCGAGGCCTTGCAAACAGAAGCAAGCTTGTTTGTGGCGCAGCTTTACTATGAACTCTGTCTCAGCGCGACACACTGCGATGGCTGTCGCGGTGTGGTGCAGGATTCAGAGTAACGCTTCTGCTTTGGAAGCGATCATAGAAACGATCTGGAAATGGCCCACCAATGGCGCGGGGTTCCCGACCACGATCTTCCACCTTGCATGGGTTTCATGCTTCTCCCAAAGCTGCGCTTCGATCAGCCAGGCAGCATTCAATCGCTGGCTCACTCCTTCTCTCCATCACTCAGTAGTTCACACCCTCCCTCGACCCACCTTGGTGCTAACATCTTCTCTCTGCTCCTGCGTGTCCTGTGCTACATTTCGCGATTGGACATCACCGTGACATCTCCTGCGACGCGTCTTGCGCCATGAAGGCATCCGGGCCATGCCGCCCAAAACCAGCTAGGGGTGAGGACCCAGGCCTCGGACTTACCCCAATCTGGAAGGAAGAGAACCCAACACCTCTCACCCCTCACTTCTCAAAAAGACCTTCCAAGCAAGGGCAGCGTGACACCCCGGAATCGCACTGTCGAACAGACGGCTGCTGAGTAATTCGCCGTCGTCGTGGCAGTAGCAGTAGAACCGGCAGCAGGAGGAGAAGGAGAAGGAGGAGGAGTGGCAGTCCACGGGAGGAGGTGCAGCCTTAAACAAAAACCGCGGACACCCCCCATTTGCAAACATGGTTCGGAAAGGATTCCCTCGAGAGCACGAGGTTCTCGATTCTTTTGTGTAGGGTTTAGGTTTAGACTTCAGATTTGAGGGCCTAGGAAGGGTGGTGCCGTGCTTGTGTCTGCTTTGTGTGTTCTGTTGTTTAGTGTTTGCTTCGTTCCTCTTTATCACGTTTACTTGCGTTTATTTCGCTTTCGCTGTCTTCTACATGTCTTTCTTATGTTCCTTGCTTGTGTCCGTGCTTGTCCTTGTAGTCCTGATTATATCTCAATTGTTCTCTTTGAGTCGTTGTTTGTTGTATTTGTTTCTGCGGTCTTGCAAGATTGGCCCGGTAATACTCGCACGGTCAAAGAGGCTGTAGAAAAGTGGGGGGCTGAATATTCTGAATTGTCGCTGCGGAATCAAAGCTTCCACGCTGGCCAGCTTGCCCTCACAGAACTAGGATGCGCGCGTGCAATGGCTGGCAGGCACCTCTTCTCCTTATGTTTCTTGATCTTATTCTGCCTCTCCGAATTTCTGCATTCCGTTCTTGTGCTCTTCGGACCTTTCGTTCCGGAAGGCCGCCCACGCGTAGAGGAGGGGCTGCAGGCCTTCAGGCATGAGGCCCACTATCGACGCAAGTCCAAACTCACAAGCGAGATTCCTTGGCCGGGCTGGTGGTCGTGACAGAGTGGATGCACCTGGTCTCTCTGTCCCAAAGTGCATTTCAAGGTCAGCACATGCCTACACGGCGACTTGCCTCGAAGAGGCAGCGTCGGTCGCACACTCGACCAGGCTCCAATCGGCCTTACAAGGGATTCTCGGGAGCACGGCCGTCGGCAAGCAGTCCGGGTTCGCTGTGGAAGAGTCTTTCAAGCCTGAAGTTAATTGCTTCGACTTATGGTAGAGAAGCCCTGCCAACATGCTTTCCCACTTCCGCAAATGCATTATTGCAAACTTTCATGTGTGCCATAGCTTTATATCCGGACATGACTCAGACTTGCGAAAACGACAAATCGGCATTCCTTGATCAAACCCTGGCGTTGATACGAACGGCTCGCGGAGACTCGAGAGTACACACGTAAATAGATAAAACAAGTATATGTGTACAGATACATAAGGGATCGAGCTAGCATTGCCTGAAACCCCCACGCTGTGAGCCATCGCGCGCTCTCCGGCTTGGCACCGATGCCTCCGGGCAAAGCGTTCGCTGCACCGAGGAAGGGTGCACCTGGCCCGAGACCGAACCGTGGAGATCGTTCTGCCTTTTGGAGGAGCACCATTCCGCTGCGTCATACAGAGCTGATGGGAGGCGGAGGCAGGGCTGGTTGGCAAAATGGGCCCTCGGATGCCTGGGACTGGCAGCAGGCTGGAACGTCGCGTGGACACAAGGGTGCTGGGAAGTGGAACCAGCAGCCTAGACGCTGGCAGCTAGAGGCCCAGCAGGAAGAGCGTGGCAATCAGTTCCCCAGATGCGAGATGATGCGGCCGAAGAGTGGCCCAGAGCAGACAACCAGGCAAGCCGAGATGATGGAGGTCGACGATGGCACCACGCCGGTCATTCTCAACAACTTCCGAAAGGTCTAGGCGAGGAAGATCGAGGAGGTGAAGGAGGACACTGATGCAAAGTGGACCGATTCCAGCAGTCGCTGAAGGTCTCGGGAGGAGTCCGCGAATTCCGAGGCTTTGGACCCAGCTCCTGGCGACGCCGACTCCGACCCCTCGACAAGGGGACGATGTGTCCTCGCTCCTGGCTGGTGCGATCAGCGGTGTCGACCTTACGAAAGCGGAAGGCAGGACCCGGCTGCTCGAGGGCATCGACGAGCACAGGCGTAGAGGCGCCCCGGCAACACCGCCGAGGAGAATGCAGACCTACACAGAAGCCACGCTGCCGGCAAGCAGCCTGGCTCCGGGTTGAAATGGAGGGGACCTCTGGGGGCGACCATGGTGCAGCAGAAAGATGTGGCGACGGGCTACCTCGGGATCCCTACATGACCTCCCCGTCGATGGCAGGTATCGTTGATTCCAGGAGGTGCACAATGTCGGTCGAGGACGAAAGCGGGACGCACCCCGATCAAGTGTGTGGGAAGGCAGCCGACAGCGCAGCCTTCGTCGGCCCGTGCACCAAGAAGCTGGAGGCGCAACGCAAGGAGGCAGAGCTGGCGGAGACCATCGACGACGAGACGGACGAAGAGGACCTCATCGGCGACCTGCCCAGAAAGAGAGCGAAAAGCCCGATGCAGGCACAGAGTAGCAAGTGCATGCGCAGGGTACATGACCCGCGTGGATGACTTTGTCGGCTTGTTCCTCCGAATCCCTTGGCTGTTCGGGATATGGGCAGGGCCTTTTGGAGACGCCCTAATGGCGGAGTAGACCGGAACAGTACTCATCGGCGGCTCCTTTGTAGAAACTATATTTTTGGAGCCCTTGGGGCTCCTCAGGACTTTTCGACACGTTCCTGAACAACAACGAAGGTGCTCTATAAGCAAGTGCTTTGGCACGACCGTGTCTAGATGATGTGCTTGATTTCACATTTTCGACGCTGGCCAGAGCTTGTGAAAAGGATTCTGACTCTCTCAGTCTCAACCCCGAACATATAAATTTACATTTGGCCCGGCATGCAAGGCCCACAGGCGCCATGTTTGCGTCAAAAGACTTGCCAAGCTGAGAATGCGGCCCAGGGCTGGGGAAGGGTGCGGAGCCTGCCTTCAGGAGAAGCACGCTCAGCATGAAGCTGGAACTCGAGCATTTGGAGTCCGTGTTGCAATTTGGTTAATGGGCTGATGGGCTGGATGCGGCTGGAAAGCCTTCTGCCGAAGGCTTTTGAGTTGAATTGCTGTTGCTCGCGGCCTTGGCCTTGGGTTTTGCTGCTTTGCTGCTTTGCTGCGCTGTGCTTTGCCTTCGGCTCTGAGAAATCGCTGGTAGGCTGGCGCACTCTGACTGGAGTGCGGAGTGCGGGCAGTGAAATCGAGTCTAGCTTTTCCTGGGCTAGCAGCACTGAGTGGACTTATCAGCAATCTTCGAAGCTACGAACACCTATTGACATCCTCCGATGCGCTCAGACAGCTACAAAACTTGCTGTGGCCCGTCCTGACTTGGCCGTGATGATCTGCGTGAGCCCTTGATCCCACTCCTGACAGGCTCGTTTTTGGTCTGCCGAATGCTTCCCATGCGGGCGCTTGGGTCCCAGAATGCTAAGATTCGGACTTGCCCTTGCCTTTGCCCTTGCCCGCACTCTTGCCCCTGCCCTTTGGGCCCATGGCAGAGGCGATTCGTGCCACTGCGGCAGATGGCGACGCAAGCTTTCCTGTACTGATCAGGTTATATGTTTTCCTTGGGCTTCCTGTGAAGCATCGCACAACTAGAAGCTGCAGATGCTGCCTGTCCTGTACTCAAAGATGACATTCTTCGTGAAGCTCCTTGCTGAGTCAAGATTCTCTAAGATGTGCATGTGAACGAACTCAAAGAAGTATCGTATCTGAGGCATGGCACGCAGAGCTGGGCTGTCAAAAGGATTTGCCTGCGTGCGCCAGCCGAACAGCTCTCCAACAATAAGGTCTGGTGTCGTTGCCTCAAGTTCCCGAATGCGCCAGATTTGAGTGAAGGAGCCGGCAACACTTTCCAAGGTGAGGCTTCCACCCTGCAGCGCAATCCGCAATGCGTAATTAAAACATATGCGTGCGATGCGGCTCTATGCCGGTTCCATGTCCCATGCGCCTTGGTCATGAGTCCTGTGCTGTAGAGGATGCTCGCCTTTAGGAGCCGGCAAGATGTTTGCCAACGTACATGCAAAGCCCATGTCTTCGGCTTCGCACCGGGGCTGGGGGCCCGACTGTCTTGAAGCCATTCTCGTCTTCTTGAGCGCCGCAAAGCAAAGCACCCTGCTAGCTCCAAATGCCACATAGCAAAATCACTCAGTCATGTGCTCCGCCCACCTCCTCTACAGCCCGACCCAGACCCCGATCTCGCTGGACGCGTCCGTCTGCTAGGACTTTTCCTGCGGACGCCTGTCGATCTGAGTGGCTAACGATTCTTGTTCCCGAATGGCAAGAATGCCTCGAATCGAGTCGACATCTCAGAGGCGACCCCTTCTTCGCCTTCAACTGAGCACAGCCTGGGCAAGGTCACAGAGTATCGCGGAGCGCAGCGCATGACAGCGCATGCAAACGACCACCGTCACATTTGTGCTGTCGGTCAGTGTAGCTTCCCCGTAGTCGGAGTCTGTGAGCTGCATGGGACGTGTTGCACGGTATGGTATGGTCCGGACATGCTTGGGATCTCAATGTATTCAACACTTTCCGCTGGTTGGTGTTTTGTTTCGAGTTTGGGTACTGGCTTTGAGGCCTGCCCGTCTGCAGTTGAACTCTTGCGGCTGGGGCGGCATCGCTTCGGTGTTTCGGGTTTCAGTCAAGGCTTAAGAGTTGAGGGTTTAGGGTTTGCCCGTGGCTCACATGTCGACGGGTCTTGGGTTCAGAGGCTTAGGGTTCAGGTTTTAGGGCTGTGGAGGTTTGTCGAGTTTCGTTGTGGGCGACAGATCAAGGTCGCACGACACGTCTATCGGCATCGGAGTCCCCCAGCTGCCTTTGAGTACGGAGACAACTGTGAGAATTTGATGTTAAATATCGGGCGCAGAGCGATGTCAGCTCGTTACAAGCATCACGAAACAAGGAAGGAACAAAAGCGGGAGCAGAAATACTTTTATGTACAAGAAGATTTTCGGACGGATCCGATGCTGAGACATCACACCTGTCACACTCACGAACATGCCCGACCCCTCCGCCGGGGCACATGAGCTTCTTGCACAAGCACGTAAAATGCACCAACACCGTTGTACAATTATGCGCCCCTCCCCCCATCCTACATTCAGTAAAGGACAATCTTTCAATCAGCATCGAACGTGTTGTCAACTATGGGGTTCTGATGTTGGGAGTAAAGAATATGAGGTAGTGACGCCCCGGGACGCCCGCGGAAGAGCATCGCCTGCGTGCGGCTGCCGCTGTGACCTGATGCATATTTTGCGCTCACGCTCGCCGGCCTCTGGCAGGCTTCATTGTAAATTCCAACACTAGGGTCAGCTTTTGGCATCGAACACCCTGAATTGCTCCAGTACTTGGGGGACAGCATCTTGGCCGTCCTCATGAATCCCGCCAGTACATGAGGGAAGCACAAGCGCCGGGCTTCTGCATTCTGCCAGTATTTGAGCAAACCGCCAGTACTTTGGGAAAAACATTTTGAACATCGTCCTGAATCCATCAGTATTTGTGGAAAGCATGGCGGGCGTGGATTCAAGTCGTACTTGGGGATGCACTTTGGTTGTGGTCTCCTGGTGGTACGTGGTCTCCTGCGTGAGGCATACTCGTTCCGGCCCAGGCTTTGACTGTGCATCGAGCTCCAAGGATGCACCCCGACCGAACCGACTCACTCCAGTGCTTAAGCGAAACGAACATTGTCACATGCCGACAATGCAATAGCTGGCCATGCACGGTGCCATGACAAGTTCCGAACTGCTCCAGGCTTTGACACAAGGTGCCGCCGATCAAGCCCTGGCCAAAAAGAACAAGACGCTCAGCCAGAACGGACCTGTATGGACCACGCTCCTCGCCACGAGGTGGCCCGAGAACCTGCGAAAGGTGTGTACCAGAGGCGCATGGCTTCTCATGCGGCTTTCCATGCCTGCAAGCAGAAGTCGCCACAGATAATCCAGGCACCTGCCCTCAACCCACTGGAGGGAGGTGGGGAACCAGGACCTCCGGCCTCGCCAAAGGAGCTGCGCACATCTTCAGGCTATGGGCACTGTCGGCACATGTCGGCACCTGTTCTGTCAGCAGCTCCACAGCAGCCATGTGCGAGTCGCTCTGGGATATTCGCCGCCAAACGGTTCCTGACAAGATCAACAGCGCAAATTTGTTCGAAGCTTCTGTAGGCCACGCCACCCTCTTTGCAAGTCTCTTTACATTGGCTCTGGTTTCTTTGGCGTGCTCAAACGAACGCGTTGGCTTCCTGATGCTTGCATGGCATGTGGATTGGAAGATTTCTGCGCACCAAACCCTAAAGCCGAAAACTGGGATGTACGCAGTTTTGAGGCTGTGCAGTGCAAGTGCGTATGGACTATGACATGGATGCGGGAGGTCGCTCGGAGACGGTCTCCCGACGTACCCGCAGAAAAGGCTGTGCCCCTGCGCCATCCAAATTAGGGTACCTAGACTACCTACTAGCAGTGCTTTACAGGACATGCACGCTGACTGGCAAACACGACAGCATGTTGTAATATCGTTGTAAGGCATCTGGCAAGGTTATCAACACCGGACCATGTTGACCAGCTTGCAAGGTACGACTTGCCGCCGTGTTGTCGGTTCAAGCAGCTGCGTCATTGCACCCACCGGCCAACATTTCGTCACATGATGTTCCCAGCACCACGACACCTTCAGCAGCATCACTGTTCGCTCCCACCGGTCATGCCTACAATGCCTGCTGAATCTGGCAGAAGATCGAGCCCATCTTCGCACCACCATCGCAGGTGGCAGACACAGCCGGAACCACCACAGGGCATGCCGATCTTGCCGCGCACCCACAGTTCCAAGCTCAACAGGAAGATCACCCAGCACCACGAATCCACTTAACTAGCCATCACTGGCACTCCCACCAGTCTCAATATGTTCGGCCAAGCACCTGAACAGACATTGAACAGCGGAAGCACAGGTCTCCGAGCACAAAAAATCCTCAACCTCGTAGTGACTCCCCGTAAGTGCGTTGATCGTCGGAGATCCTTGTCGACCAATACATGGTAATTCTTCAAAGACATTTATGTTGTGCACGTGTATTGCGTGTATAACTCGCTCGCGTGTCGATATGGATGACTTCTACAGCCCCCCTTCCCAATGCCCAAGTTGGCCGCAAACCGCACAAGGGCTGGCTCTTGTGTGCCAATGTCCCGGCCGGGTTAGACCGCTGAGCTTTCGCCCCATCTTGGTCGGTCTTACGCACCTTGCGAGCTGACTTCGCCTGGCTGTTTTGGGGGTCGCGGAGGTCGCCACGGTTCAACCGCAGGGTCGTTTTTCCGTCGGGCCGAGCCCCTCCTCGGGCCTAGGCCCTTCTTGGAGAGCGATTTTTGGGCTTCCATTTCTCCAAAAGATACGTTGGTGTGGGCTAATGACGAACCTGAGGGAGATCAGTGTTGCGTCTTTCTAGTTTGGGGGTTGGTCGCTTCGGGATTTCAATGACTCAGGTTTGCGCTTACACTCTGGGGTCGAGGTTTCATCATCCTGTAGGCATAGGAAACCCTGGGACGTCCTTCGGGGATGTCTTTCATCTCAGACGAGGAAACCTTGGAGAACAGCGGCGCAAATGGCAGCACTGACAGACGGTTTTTAGAGCCACGCCAGCTGCGAAGTGAAGCTGCCCGTATGCAGCGGCGTCGGCTCGGTGTCGACCTGATGCTCGGAGCTCAGGAGCTTCGAGCCCCGAGGAGAGCCCACTGAGGCAGGTGCAGCTATCTTTCGAAGAGCAACTGCCTTGCTGCCTTCTTCCACCTCGCTGTTGCTTCAAGGCGGTCCAGAACTCACTTGACTCGTGACTCTGGGCTCTTGCACGTTCTGACATGGTCAACACAAACTCACTGTGCGACTTATGACCCGGTTTCTCTCTCTCTTTCAGCAAGGTCAGAACGACAAGGTCGTCAGGACCGAACCGGGGTACAAATACCCAGTCAAATCCAATGTCCACATCTGAAAATGGCGCTGCAGGTGGTGCACGTGATGCAGCGGAACCATCTGGGTTGTTTTACCAGAGGCTCGAATGAGCAACGTTCAAAACCCTTCTGACATTCCATTATACTGGTTGGTTTATAGGGATCATTTCCATGG